TTGCAGATAGACATGTGCACCTTTTGGTCATGATTTCTCCTTGGCCTGGGGCAGTTCATCTCTCCTTCAGCTTGTCGTCGTCTCATTCTTGTAGTAACAATTTTATCTCTTGTTTGCAACTCCTTCTTCAGTAGCTGCTCCTGTGAAAAGTTGATATGTAGCAAGGTGTCACCAAACAGGCCTCCCCCCGTCAACCCACAGCCTGGCATACAGTGTCCCAATTTCAACATTGGCCAGCAACATCTGGAGCAGGAGCTGGGCCACATGGCTCCATCTCTTGAGCTAAAAGAGCTTCTCAATGGACTTGCTTCCAATCAGCGGGCTCTTCGTTTTCGATGCAGTCCATTGCTAACATATAATAAATGCATTTGTAGGCCGGTGGGTTGACTGTATGGGAGAGGTTTGCCCGAAGATCAGGAGATAAGAAGCCTTATTTTTTATTGTCACTCTTTGGTTGACACCATACTTTATCTTCAGGTGGGGCAAGGGAGTTCATTTGAACTCTCTGTATCCCGCTGCTTCTCCACCTTATGAAATGAAGATTTTTTAGTACTTATTTCCCCACCTCACAGATGTGTCGTGAGGTGTAATGAATTGGCATTTAATTATGCAAAGAGCTGTTTTGAGTCTGCATGCAATGACTGGGTGGCATGTGGTGCTACCCCACTGTCATGCTCAGCATCACACATGACACTGTACATCCTGCTCTGCAAAACTCATTAAAAACCCATCTTCCTTAACTACCAAGGTGGAAAAATCTTAGCGGGATTTTCTCCTGAGCGAGAGGGTGGGGAAAAAGCCATTTACACAATGTCAGCATTCTGCTGCCATATTGACCCTGAAAATACCACATTTTGTTTAAAAGCCCTTTGGACATGGTGGCTGAAGCACATCATAGAGAGGGAAAGGGAGCAGGACCCTGGGCTCCGTGGAGAGCCCAACGATGAATCCCATAGGGTTAGGACCAAACCTTTAGAGTAGTTATGTCCCATTCAACCCAGCCCTTGGCGAAGTCAAGGGGTCCTCATTGACTTATGGCATCATTGTGTGGGAAAGAACCCAGCCAAATTAGGGTAGTATTCTCCATGTTTCTTAACCTGCTGTGAGGGGGGGTCGGAACCCCGGCTTTGAAGCCGTTGCATCGGCAGCCAATTCACAGGGATGTTTTGTGTGTTTCAAAGCCTATGACTGTTCTTAAAGAGAAGTATTTTTATTTTTTTTTCCATTTGTAGAAGGAAGGACAAGAGTAATCTGTGGCAAACTGTACAGTACGTGTCTTCTTGTGGTGTCACTGTTTGAATGGTTAAGTTTTCAAATCACTGTGGACAGCTAATCACTTAAGTTATTAATTTATTCTTTGGGTTTTTGTTGTGGTTTTTTTAAGTAATTTGAAGCAATTATTTATCCTGTAAATTGGTCTTGAGTGAAGTCTAGATAATACATTTTTGCTGTTAATAAACATGGTACATGCCTAACGTGAAGGTGATCTCATTTTTAAGTACTGTATATGCAGTGGGAAAGCAACGGGAAAATAAAAGAATGATAATAAAAAGACATCTCTCACTGGTGACTCCCAGCATGGATTCAGAGTGGGGAGAGAAAGGGGGAATTAATGACCAGATCAGTCTGAATTATGCAGCACCTTTAAAGCTTTCAGAACATCTTGCCAACATGTTGCCAAGTATCTCCTACGGCTTCAGGTATTCTGTTGTGCAATGAGGGCCTTTAGGATGCAGTTAAGGTTTTTCCTGATAGCAGAATCCTGCACCAGCACCTGGGTCGGGGCAGTCCCCAGTATCAATACAAACTGGGGGATGAAGGGATTGAGAGCAGCCCTGTGAAGAAAGACTTTGAAGTATTGGTGGGTGAATAATGGGACATGAGCCAACAATGCACACTCACAGCCCAAAAAGCCAACCATATGCTGGGCTGCATCAAAAGAAACATAGCCAGCAGGTCAAGGGAGATTATTATCCCCCTCTTCTCCACTTTCATGAGGCCCCACCTGCAGTCCTGCATCCAACTCTGGGGTCCTCAGCACAAGAAGAACATGGAGCTGTTGGAGCGGGTCCAGAGGAGGGCCACAGAAATGGTCAGAGGGCTGGAGCAACTCTGGTATGAAGACAGGCTGAGAGAGTTGGGGTTGTTCAGCCTGGAGAAGAGAAGGCTCCAGGGAGACCTCATAGCAGCCTTCCAGTACAAGAAAGCTGGGGAGGCACTGTCTACAAGAGCATGTAGTGATAGGACGATAGGTAATGGTTTCAAATTGAAGAAGGGTAGATTTAGATTAGATATTAGGAAGAAATCCTTTACTGTGAGGGTGGTGAGACACTGGCACAGGTTGCCCAGGGAAGCTGTGGATGCCCCCTCCCTGGCAGTGTTCGAGGCCAGGCTGGATGGGGCTTTGAGCAACCTGATCTAGTGAAAGATGGCAGTGGTGTTGGACTGGATGATCTTTAAGGTCCCTTCCAACCCAAACCATCCCATGGTTCTATGATTCTACAATATTAATAGTGTGCTACTAATACTCATCATATTTAACAGTATACCTGTATGTATTACAGTATACTAGTATTAGTATAGTTATAATACTGTAACATATGGTTTATTTAATAGTATTCATAGTAATAATAATAATAAATAGTATTAATAAGGTATATTAATGCAAACATTCGTATATGTTAAGTATTTACTATAATACTCATATATTTATCAGATATTGTACTTACATGTTTATATTAGATATTAATATAAATATATGTTTATACATCTATATAGTAATTATTTTGGAGAGGGGATCATGAAGCAACTGTAGATAATGCTGTACAAACAGAGGCTTAGGGCTGAGTCCGAAATGGAGGTCCCATGCTAAGAGTTACAGGAAACGGACAGAGACTAAACCAGACCACTTTGTTACACCATTGAAACTATAGAGGCTGCCATCTGTGCTGAGCATCTGATACCTCTGCTCAACTCAGAAAATCTTGGGAAAAAAAACCAAGACATAATCAAGGCAGAGCGTAGGTACAGTCTACTACATGTAAGCTACAACGTAGATACAACCTCTCCATTTCCCATGTTGCATTGATTATCTGCCTTAATTATTTAGATTAGAATCTCATCAAGGCAGAGACAGTCTCCTGCAAATGCACCTTCCAGCATGCGACCCAGAAAATGCCTCCAGGTGACACTGCAACACAAGGCAAGGAGCTGGCACAATAGCTACATGAAAGCTTTTGGCAGCCTGTTTGGACAGGAGGTTCATAAAACTCTATTAATAATACCAGGAAATACTGTACTTTTTGTATAACTTCAGCTTCGGGTCCATATTTATTTCCTCTTAGCACCACTTTAAGTCTAGCAGACTTAAATGCACCGAACACACTCCACTGCTTATCTACAAACCCCCACTAATAGGATTGTGATTTGCATTCAGAAGGCACCCAGCTTCAGGTGGGGTCCTCATCCCACCTCTGCCTGCACCCCTCTTCCAAGCCACCACTCTGCAGGCTTGTCCATGTCTGTGAGGTTGGGTGCTCCTCTCCCATCAGCTTCCCTATCTCTTTCTTGACCCATCACCCCAAAAGCTGCAAGTATTGCATTAAGACACTAAGCCTCTATGTTGAATTAATTATTTTCCTTTATTTTTATATAGGAAAGGCAATAAAGGAATCCAATTGTATACACTAGAGATTTTATCCCAAGTGTCCTCTCTAGCAGACTTTCTGCTTGCATTATCTGTAGCAATATCTGTGCTTTGCCTTTTCATCCACAGCAATACAATATCCCCATCCCAATACCCCACGGTCAGGATTAGGTCCTGCACTCAGGACCTAAGGCACAAATCTCTGCCACTTGAGCTAGAGAAACCTCTACTACAGGTGCAAGGGATGGGCAGGCAAGGACAACGGCTGGGGAAGGACATGAGGTGGAGTCGTAGTCCTGTAGACGCACTACCCGGGGCTTGGGTTGGCCTCCTGCCACCAAAATCAGCCCCTGTCCTATTACTGATTTATATAATGCATTGGTTTACATAGTATGTAATTATACGGGGTTGATATAATATAACTGGTTGGGTACTTTCCTTGCAAATCAGCGTTTAAAAGAAATAACTAGTGGGTTTAGGGGGGCTCTGTCATTTGCTGCTCAGTTCAAGGTATCCCAAAGGAAAACCCAAGTTTTAAAGGGCAGAAAGCCCAGAAAGCCATGAGGTAACAGCAGCAGAAAGAGGCTAACCAAGTTCTAAAGATGTGTCTGGACAAACTGGTGTGTGTCTGGGTCTGCCATGTACATTAGCAGCATCCAGAGGTCACTGGTAACACAAAGGGGCTTCACTGGAGCACAAAAAAACCCATCTGGACCAGACCAGTCTCTCCTGGCTAGAGGGATTTGTGCCCCTCAGTCTCTTTTGGGTGCTTTGTAACACTGTATTGAACCCCCATGGTCGACCTGCAGGCTTGCAGGCTCACCGCCCTACTAGATCAATGTTGCCACATTGGCTGCCAGGCTTTATCCAGCCTTTTTCAGCCTTTCCCCACTTTTAGAAGTGTATCAAGGTGCGCTCTCAAAACCAAATTAAAAAAAACCAAACCACAACCAAGCAGAGGTCCCCGCCAAACCAACTCAGCACCACAGGAAGGGCTGCAGATGGGATGTGCATGGGACATCCTCATCCCTGTCCTTGTCCCTGTCCCCTCCCCAGGCTGGTGGCATGGCTCACAGCAGGCAAGACATGGTTATGCTGAAGCAAAAGGGCACTTCTCTGAGCTGTCGGCAGCTGCTCATCTCCGCGTTAGCTTAGTTACATTAAGGCGTGAAGACCAAGTGCATAGGAAGCAGTGGGACCCTCTGGGGGCCTCCAAGTCAGCTCCTGAGTCATTTTCCATTGAAACGTTCCCCAAATTCTCCTCCAAGATGCTCGCTGTCATCAGGGTGAGAAAGAGGAGCCTCTGGCTTTGGGTTGGCCTTGTGGACATTGATTGTCTGGTTTAACCTGGTAGTTAGAAGACAAGTCCATGAAAGGAGCCAGATCCACCTCCACCCGCCGCCGGGCTGCAGCCCCCCGATGAGCTGTCATCGTCCTTGTCCCTGTCAAAGTCTCTCCACCACAGCGGGGATTTCGGCAATGCAGAAATGTAGGCGGCTCTGTTCCTTGCTTCTTTTTCCTGCTCCTGAAAGAAGGATGAGAAATAACACAAGGATATTGCCATTATCTGCAGCTAAACAACCCAGACAGGGGGATGCTCCCTACTTTCCTGAGGAGCAGGGAGCCTGTTTGGTCACTCCTGTGAGCCTCCTCCAAATTAAACCAGTGTGACCAGGTCACATGCTCATCTCTAGAGCTCAGTGGGAGGGATGCAGCAAGGCATGGCATCTCTCCAGCAATCAAAAGACAAACCTCCCATGTCACCTTCTGGGAGAGGAGGGACCCCCTAAATTCCACCCATGGTGCTCACATCCTATGAGACACTGCTGTTTGGAAAGCCTTGAACTCCACTAGTTGAATGAAATCTGCTTAGTTTGTATTCCAGTTTGCCCATCTTTCCCAGGCACTTAAGAGAAATGTTCAGGCAGAGCTGCCTGGGGTGGGAAATGGCAAGTCAACCTCGAGCATGGCCACAGGGTGTCTTGCACCAACTTCAATGCCCAGTTTCCCTGGGAAACTGCAGTCTGCTTACATGTGTGTGCTAAGAAAAAGGGACTTTGCTTCAGGGAGCAGACGGGTATCTGCAGGACAAAACCCTGCTGCTGCCTGGACGGGGGGGTACATGGCCTGCGAGCCAGGCAGCCACAGGATCACGCCGTGCTGTGTCCAGCAGTGGGAGTTACCTGCAAGTAGAGGATGTTATCTTTGGAAATGGCTTCCATCAAGTCCTTATGAAGGGAGGGTTCACCATGCAGGTTGCTGGCCTCGGCCAGAGCCTCGTGCAGCGAGCAGCTCTGCCTGCCCAGCCGCTGCCTGTAGAAGAGGACGTAGGCAGTGTCCTTAGGGAAGAAAGAGGTGACGTTGCTGACAGATTCAAAGGAGGAGAAGGAAACCCTGGTGTCATTGAAGAGGTACCACTGGATTTCAAAGTCCAGCTGCTTGTCGGAGGCTGGTTTCGGCACTCCCTCCCGGGGCTGCCCGTGGGGAATGGTGTCAGTGCACTCCCTGGAGTAGCAATAATAGTGACCGCTCTCGGAGGAGATGCCCGAATGCACCACCACACTGCAGAGGTCGTACACGACAGACATGAAGCCACTTCCCGGGGCACCCCTGTCCTTCCCACGCCGGCAAACCTCCTCGGTTTCCTCCGGGGTGGCAAGAATGGGCAGCTTGAGCACCACGGGGATGGAGACGTTATCCAAGATCTTCCTCCTCTTCATAGTCCGTGGGTCGAAGGAGAATCGCAGCAGTGTGAGGATGAGGTAGTGTGGACCCTCCGTCAGCTCTGCCACTTTCTCGGCATCCTGCAAGGAAGCACATTTCTCACAGTGGTATTTATTCTCTGCTGTCAGTCTCTCTGGGGATAGAAAATAGTTGATTAAATCCGGGACAGATCTGGAGTCTTTGGGAGCACTTGCCTGCTCCCCAAAAGCCGAGAGAGGGTCTTTGGCTGCATCAGCGCCAATGGCATCACTGCTTAAGGGATCTGCCAGTTCTCCAGGTTCCTGGAAACCCAATGTTTCCACTGGCATCGGTGAGGCTGCAGGGTCTCCAACGATGGGGAGCTTCCTCTTGACCCAGGGAGACCCTGTTGGCTGGTTTGGGTTTTCAGGAGCCTCAATAAACTGTGGGCCAATTTCTTCCACCGATAAAACAGATGTGCTCCTGTGTACGTGCCTGTCTGGTGGGGGGAAAGCCAGTGACAGGTCTGTGAAGGCTTCTTCTCGGGAGGAGACATTCAGACACTTCAAGCAGCGGATCTTTGTCATCATTTTACCCCCAAACATCTTCTCAATCAATGTCTTCTTCAAGTAATGATGCTCCACCGCCTGAGACATCAAGCTGGATTCCTTCAGTTTCTGGTAGATCCTTTTTCCAGTTTTTTCTTCTTCATGTAATCTTTAGCAGGAAAAGAAAAGCTGTGTTATGCACCAGTAAAACACCAAGAGGTAGTTTCTAAAGTAGGGTTTCTGTTCTTCACTCAAAGGGGTTAATCTGGGTTAACCCCACAATGTACAGAGGTCTGGTACTGTGGGACGAAGGTGGGGAGGATTTGGGCAGGATTTGGGAACCTGAGGTCTCCATGTGTCATTGACTCCCTACTTCTAGGGTTATCGCTGGGACACGAGAGATTTGGGATTTCTAGGTAAGAGAAAGGTAAAATCAATTTTATGGAGGAGGCTGAGTGGCCTGTCAGGCAAAAACCCCTGATCTTGGTGCAATTCCCTTTGCCTTCAGAGCAAAGGCAGAAATTTTTAAGCTGAATTCTGACCTTACCCAAAACAGGGTTTTATCAGGGAGCCCCAGACTAGTCTCACCATCTCTCATCCCAAGCCTCCACTCTCCCAACTCCCCGATGTCTCAGCTGCTTGCCCTTGGGGCTCCGAAATCACAGCTCTTGCCACGTACCGGTCCAGCAAGTACTTGAGATACTCCGAGCAGTCCTGCTGAGCTCCAGGAGTGAACCAGGGGGGCCAGGAGGCAGAGAGGAAACTCTCGGGTGAGATGGCAGGTCGCTGGCAGCAACACAGAATAAAGAGAAGTGCTTTTAATCCAGGGGATCTGTTTCTTACTTCACACAGGGGGATGGAGACAGAAAAGGAGGGTCTTTCTGGCTGCTTTGCTGGGAGCAGGGTGTACCTGTGTGCCTGATAAGGTCCCCTTTTATTCCCCTACAAGGGCTAATCCCACTGCATGGGAAGATGTTCTTGGTTTGCTGCAAGTCAGGACTGTAAGAATGAATTTCAGCCATTATTTTACATATACTTCTATAAAATATTTACGTGTTTATTTCTTCCTTCAATTTTAAAATGGTTTATTGACCTGACCCAGAGACTTCTATTAAATTCAGCCTGAATTTAATTTGATGCTCCATTTAATTTGATCAAGTTCTCTCTCACCAAATCTCTTCGTAAAAACAAGCAACAAACCAACAAAGCAAAAAATCCACTAACCTTCCACCTGCCATTCTGATCACTGCAGGCAGGTAATCTGCATTACTGGATAATGTAATCATTGCCATTAGGAAGCTCCTGTCTAATTAACATGGAAAAACACCCATCTATGGCTAAGAAGAGACTTTAAGAACAGCGTAAAGAAAAATAACTAAAAGGCTATTAGGAAATGAGCAGGAAACTATTAACCATAAACTACAAAACAAGCAAACATGCTTCTGTATTTGCTCATCACAGATCACAGACACCATAACCTGACATCAAAAACTAGACTCTTCCATGATCAAATATTAAATTTAACAGGTTGTCTATATTTTTCGCCAAAAGTCATCAGTAATGACAGCGGTAATGCAACGAGCCAGCTCTATCAATCAAGGCTTGGAAAATGGAGAAGCACAGATAATTGGTTTCACAGCAAGGGAAAATTCACTGGACTTTCAAAATCATGTCTTTCGAGGGACAGAAAGATGTGTTCTCAAGAGAGAAGTTGGATGTGACCTAGCTGTATCTCCAGGAATCACTCAAATTTCATCTTTGTCAAGAAAGTATTAGTAACTAATTTGTTTAAGGGTGTTATTTTTATTTTACTTTCCCTCACATACTCAAAGCATCTGGAATCTAAAGAGCATTTA